TCAATGTTTTTTTTTTTTTTTTTTTTTTTTTTTTTTGTAATAAATCGTTTGATTTATTACTAGGAGTGGTTTAACCAGGAAATGTGTAATTTGATTAGATGATTAATGCGAAGCTCGTTTCTCATTTACATAGGAGTTCTGATGAATTTGTAGTATTTGGGTTTGGATGAAGTGTGTGAGCACTGAATTTAGGCTGAGAATTTTTTAGTGTTTCTTTTTCAGAGGTCATTATTTATAGAAAATATTCATTGGTGTTCCAGGAATGTTATTAATAAATATTTACCTATGGTATAGTAGTTTCAAGGAAGCACCATATAAAGCACAGGGATCTTAACAATAGAAGGGATGGCTGGGTCAAAATGGACCCATTAGCAATTTTCCAAAAAATTAGATTCATTCAAAATTAAAAAATTTTTCACTTTCATTTCACTTTTTTTGGAAAATTGCTAATGACCTTGGCAGTAATTCTAGCATTATAATACACTTTCTGGAAAAAATTCAAATTAGCTGTCTGAATATCAAACATAGCATAATTTATCTCAAACGGAGCACAAAAATTTGTCCAACGAATTCCACTAATTAAAAAAAAATGAAAAGTATGAAACCCCCTCCTTTTCTGTCTTCGTCAAATTTACACAGAAGAAGAATTTACAATATTTACTCCACGTCCACGATTGCTATCAAAATTGCCACTCATCGATCAGACTGTCCTCGCTACTCTACTCGTTTTTGCCTCCATCGCTCGGTGTTCGCTTCCTATATACACAATCTAACTTCGCTGACCTAATCTTCCGTCTGTTCAGCGTTCAAGACGCTGCAAAAATGCCTAGCCTGAAAATCTAATCGTACGCATATTCTAACCTAAAAAAAAAAAACGTACATATCCACATAATTACCTATAATTTGTCGCGTTCCTTGGAACTGAAATTAAAAAGGAAAGAAACATATCGCGTCGTTGACGTGTTTAATCGATCGCTCGGACTAGTCGTGCCGCGATAAATAAATAAATCGCGGATAGATACGCGGCGTGAACGAGAGGGGCAATAAGAAGGTGCGTGAGCGTCCATTAGACTCTCTTAGACCTTCTTGCTACCTTGCCGCGGGCGAACGTTCGACGTTATCTTCGTGGACGTAAAAGCGACCGGTTCGACTATTAGTTGGTGCGGCATGATGTCATGCTCGGAATAAGTTACGAAGTCACATCGGTCGCTTTCACGAGCAGTTACGAAATTTCGAGGCTCCGCTCAAGGTCACGCTGCCGCGTTTCCGCAACTTTTCCGAACGTTTCCGCGCGACGCGAAAATGCGTCACGACGAGTGACACCTGATTTCGGAGCTCGTGATCGTCGTCCTTCTTGGTTCTCCCCGGTTGACGATTACGAGCAGCGGCGATGTACAAGAGAAAAATAAAAATGAGTCTTGCAATCGGGTAGGTGTAGAAAGTTTCACGGTGAAATCGAAAGTAACTGTAACCGATGACATGCCGTGAAATCTTGGTACGTGCGTTTCGATCGAGGAGAAGGAGCAGAAATTATGGTGTCGATCGCTGTGTGTAGCCGATCGTGAAGTGACAGAAGTTGAGGGAGTTAGCGGTGGCTGATGTATCAGGTCTTTTGGTATTAGGAATTCTTAATTATAAAATTAGGTATTATCTTAACCTCCTCAGGGACACCGACACATATGTGTACCTTTAAATTTTCCGAAAATTCCAACATTTGCGATAGAGAAAATATGAAAAACACAATCTCCTGAAATCTACAAAAATCTCCTAAGGAGAGTAGTTTAATTGCTATCGATTTAACATGAATATAAATATAACTACATACAAAATTAGATCAGATTAGAAAATCGTCCCTGAAGAGGTTAAAGTATTAGGAATTTTATTATTTAGATCGATATTTCTAAGGAATCTTTAAATTTGATTAAAAAAAAAAAAAATGTAAGTACAGTAAATTCTCTACAAGTGTCAGTCAGTTTGGATTCTACAAGTGTCACTATAGATGGCCCTACGCCTAGGCTGCGTCATTCCTGCGCCTATGTAACGCTACACCACTCGGTTTCTTTTACGAGATTTCACGGCTCGACAATTCATAATAGAAAAATATAATTTCTTTAATTTTACTTTTTTTCATCTGAAATTTTTTTTAACATGTTGGTGCCTCCAACTGGCAGTCAAACAGTAGGCCGACTCTATGTAATGTAATACAAGGCGCCTGTTTTATCTCAATACAGTGAAATATCTGGCGTAACAGTGAACGTGTTAATAAGCAAATGTTGTTCAAATAATGTCGTGTTTGATGTCATTTTCATCAGAAAAATCTCATCAATATGTTAAGAAAAATTTCGGGATAAAAGCTGTCCTTGTCCTACGTTCGGCAAACTACAAAGGCGGGCGCGAGGCTCGAAAACGTAGTCCCTAACTCTACAAGTGTCAGGTTTAGGTTCCTTGCGGACTGACACTCGCGGAGAATTTACTGTACCTTCTCATTCTATAATACAACTTTTCTTCTATTCTTTTTTCTTTTTCTTTTTTTTGTGAAAGTATTGTGACGTCGCTATAGTATTTCCCTTGATTTTTATTTAAATATTTTTCGTTTTCGGTAAGAATATATTGGATAGTTTGTAATTTTTGGAAATTTTGAAAGCAGTAGAATTAGAATTTTGGGATTAAAATACTGGGTGACGCATATAAAACAGAGACGAAACGTAAAATACAGTTTTATTTGGTAATAACGTGTTGTATATTTGAGTTAAATTTGGTATCGTAAATGAACGGTATCTTTAACTTGAAATGACTTTAATTTTAACCATTTGCACGTTTATCAGTATTTTTATTTCTGTTGGAAATATGACTTTTAAACTGCATTTTACGATGCAGGCGGGTTTTATGAGCGCCGTCCAGTTGCAATGATTCAAAAGAGCTATATCAAGTTTATGGAATTAGTGACAGGTGAAAATACAAATGCTGATACTTCATAGAATTCGTTTTTATTTTGATATTTAAAAAAGTCCAATTATTTTTTGAGTTTACTTCTGGGTGAAAATATAATTTTATACGAGAAATTGCATTACAAATGTATTCCTTTGGATTTCGATTTCTTCACTCTAGGAAGCCGAAATTGTTGGAAGGTTTAATTTCGAATTTCAAAACGGTGTAATTTAATTTCAATAAAAAAAGTAAATGCAAGTACTTTCTGACACAAAAACATTATTGGCAATCTGCACAAATTATTTTATTAAAAAAGATTAAAAGTAAAACCTCTAAATATTTTTCGACAAACTTTGTGGCCATTTTTTTCCCCTTTTTGGGCTTCCTAGGATTAGTAAAGACCTTCACGATTTTATGATACTGTTTCAGTGATTAATTGCATTATTGGCAACCTGCACAAGTGATCTTATAAAAAAGATTAAAATTAAAAATTTTTGACATTTTTGGATAAACTTTGTCCCCATTTCTTTCCCCTTCTTTAAGGTTCCTTAGATTAATAAAGACATTCACGATTTCACGACACTTCTTCAGTGATTAATAACACTATTGGCAATCTGCACAAATTATTTTATAAAAAAAAAAAAAAAATTAAAACTTCTGAATATTTTTGGACAAACTTTATGCCCATTTCGTAGCCTTTCTTGAGTTCCCTAGGCTTAACAAAGACCTTCGTTTCACTTTCTCCACTCATCAATGTCTGGAAACATTGAAATCTAACAAAACGGTTCTATCGATTGCAGAACCACGACGCTGGAGCGCTGCGGACGTAGCTGCCTGGATACAATGGGCCAGGAGACAACTGCAATTGCCCTCGGTGCCATTGGAGAGCTTCAACGTGGACGGTACTACGTTGGCTTCCCTCACCGAAGAGGAATTCTGTCAGCGAGCCCCTCAGGTGCGTTCAGAATAATCTTCACAAAGATTGACCGTGCACTGACTTATGTCGTTCGCCTGGCACGTCTGCTTGAAATCGGCCAGCGCATAAGTCGCACTTTCAACCGGTACCGTTACGCAACGGCTGGGCTGTGCTGAAGGCAGGCTAGCACAGCGACGATTATTCGTGGACCGTTTTAACGAAGCAATTAGTCGATGGAATTTCGTGGTGTTTCGATAAATTGCCGGTGCAAACGTTCGATTGACGGATGATTGCCGCTGACGATAAACACGCGTCATCTTGGCGATGACGTAGAACGGCTGAATAAGAGAATCATGCTGAGAGATGAGGAAGTTTCATTGTTGTTGTTCCTTGATTATTTATAATGACAGCTGAATAGCGTGTCTTCTTGTCAGTGTCTCGATTGGAATTGTTGGTTGGGTTTTTGGACGTGTTGACTCATCGTAGAATTGTTAACAGCTGTTATATACAGGGTGTCCAAAATTTTTTTGGATCAAACTTTGTCAGTATACTCTATGGGTGTAAGTGAGAAGAAAATGTTATATGAACATAGGTCGTTTGAAGCTTTGTTAAAAAGTTACAAAGAAAATACGAAATACGATGAGGTTGCTATGGATACGAAAGAAAAATGGCACCGGGAAATGATGCGTTCAATACCTTGAACGATCTCTGATCATAAATACAGTTAGCATAAACAGGCTAGATGTACTTACATATCGCTGATTCATTCCTATTTTGTATCATAACCTCAAATATCATTCTCTTCGTATTTCGTATTTTTGTTATAACTTTTTAACAAAGCTTCAAACAACCTATGTTCATATAACATTTCTTTCTTACTTATACCCATAGAACACACCGACAAAGTTTGATGAAAAACAATTGGGACACCCGGTATATTACTTTTCGTGGATAAAAATAGGTGATGAGAAACTAGGAAAATGGAATTTTGCATCTTGAAATATATGTTTGAAATTAAAATTGGACGTTCGTCTTTTTTATTTTATACAATAGATTCAGTCTGTTGATTCTAGCAACATTTATAAATTCGTACCTTGATAAATTTGCAAAGTATAGTGGAAAAAAATTGACAGAATAATATACCAATTAATCAACCATATTACATTACTAAAAATAAGCCTTTCACTAATTTATCAGACCCTTGGAGAAACGAGATTCGTTTATAATTAGTCAAACAAATAAACAGCAGTGAAAGTGAAACACTTCGATGAAGTACGATTACAACACGCGTGCAATATTCTCGCTCGTTATCTACGATGTCGTCTCCGTCGACATTTTTAAAAGAGGTTATCTCGGTGTCGTCCCAAGAATTTACAACAGATTTCGTTTTTGGTGTTATCATTGTCGGAGTCCTCCTTTTCAACAGACAATGCATTCAACAGATACTTCCAGGTTACGTTATTCGACCGTCGTTACCAACATTTAAATATAGTCGCTAATTGACGGTGGAACAATTGAAACGGTTAGAAAAAACTAGGACCAAAGAAAACCTGACACATACTTCCAAGAATCTCGTCCGATAAGTGTGTTTAAAAATACTCAGCTACCTAATCAGGAAATCTCAGAAGAGTAATAACTTTCGTATGATGCAAACACGGTATTTCCAACTTGAAAAAAAAAAGAACTAAAAAATTCCCCAGGAATTCTAATATACACACGTTTACACATAATACTCGCGTTAATACTTCGATTTTATCTCACGAGATCTGCACGACCACATTTGTACGAGCAGCATTGTGCTTTCGTTCTCGTTGCTTAAAAAACAGAAGAAAAAGGAACGAGAAGAAAGGAAAAAAAAAATGTATAAAATAATAGCAGCCCTGTTGTTGGGCCCGTTCGATAAAGAAACTAATGGCGCGAGTAGTCACTCGAGAAACACTCGCGGACAAGGTCCGGTGAAAGTGAATTTCCTGGAAATCGGTGTGCGTCCACGTTCCTTCCTCGTAATCCATACACTGGACAGGCCAGAAGGAACGACGCGACGGCATGAGTAAGCAACTGGCGTAATAATACGGTTTGTGCCGCTTAACGGAACCAGGATTCTCCCCCGATATACCTTTTGTACGTCGCTGGAATACGTGCTTTTATCCTCTTGCCGATTGCAGATTTCTGTACTCCACTCGATAGACCGTTATTGAGTGGACTGGACGAGCCTTAAACTGAGGATCGTCGAGTTGAACCACGAATGCAAATACTGAGAGTTAGAGGCGGCCATTTGTCTCGTGGGAGATCGGCTGTAGATGCGGTAAACGTTATTCCTTCCACGTCTCTGGTATTTACCGTGGAAGATTGGATTTTCAATATGGAGGAAGTTTTAGATCTGGTTTTCGATTTTATAGTTTTTATTGAAACACTGTTTTCACTTCTCTCTTTTTTCTTAGAAATCATACGTAATATCGTCTAATTGTTCAGCTCAGTTTTGTAGGTTAGGTTAAACCAAATTTTCGATTTAATAGTTTTTATTGACAAATTTTTTCAACTTTCTCTTTTTGGTTAGAAATCATACATAATCTCATCTAATTGTTCAGCTCAATTTTATAGGTTAAGTTAGACCAGATTTCCAATTTAATAGCTTTTATTAACAAATTTTTTCACTTTTCTTTTTTTGGTTAGAAATCATACGTAATTTCATCTAACTGTTTAGTACAGTTTTATAGGTTAGGTTGTCTCGTTAGATAGGTTAGGTAGATCAGATTTCCAATTTAATAGTTTTTATTAAAGAATTTTTTCTCTTTTTGGTTAGAAATCACACGTAATTTCATCTAATCGTTCAGTACAGTTTTATAGGTTAGGTTGTCTCGTTAGATAGGCTAGGTAGACCAGATTTCCAATTTAATAGTTCTTATTAAAGAATTTTTTCACTTTTCTCTTTTTGGTTAGAAATCACACGTAATTTTATCCAATTGTTCAGCACAGTTTTATAGGTTAGGTTGATACGAATTTATCGTCCGGTCAGTTTTCAACTAGCGCCACTTAAGTAGTCGCGATGGAGACAAATACTTTGGACGTTTGAAAGATTGGATTTTAAATATGGAGAAAATTTTAGACCAGATTTTCCACTTAATTGTTTCAATTAAACGATTTTTTCACCTTTCTCTTTTTACTTAGAAATCACACATAACCTCGTCTAATTGTTTAGCGCGGTTTTGTAGGTATTTTGATGCAAATTTATCGTCCGGTCGGTTTACAACTAGCGCCACTTAAGTAGCTACGATGGAGACAAATTAACTCCTGTTAACGTGAATGTAAAATGCCTTCGTCTTGATTTAGTAATTATTGCTTGAGTTGTCACGCTCACGTGCTGCCCGTCTGCGTGTAGTTTTAGCTTCCGTTTAGCATAATTACGGGGTTTTAAGAGGAGAGAATGATTTATGGTAGTTCTATGTTTGGAACGTCTTTCCAAACTTCTCTCTTACTTTCTTCCTTCCTGATATTTCAACTAATTTTCATTTTTCACAACATTTCAACCAACTTTTACCATCTTTCTTTTCTACTTGTAACTCCAAAGTACCATCATTCGTCACCTCTCTGTTATTGCCAGAAAATACGCAATTTTTACCATTAATATATTCAAATCTTATTCCACGTTTCGAGGAATCTCCGCTTCTTTATTTCGCACTTAGCAAAATTTATCGAAGTGAGTCACCGCGAACGATTCCCAAAAATATCACACTTCGCTGTCCTCGCGATTAAACGGCAGAGGGTAATAAGCCCTGATTAATCTGCCAAATGAGTATCCAAAGTTCGGTCCAGATAATGGTCGCGATTCACGATCGAACGTGGTGGAATTGTGCAATGTAAAAGGTTAACCGTCCAGTTCGTGAAAACCGGTGCTTTCGATACGCGAATGATCCCCGTTTCTCGAAAATCGTACGTGGAAAACGCAATGTAAATTAACGACGAACAGACTCCGGTGTACTTGGATTAGCGCATCGAGTTAGGCAGTCATGCATAATGGATTCAGCTTTACGTCTTGTAATTGGATAATTACACCACGTTGCATCCGCAGTTGATTCGCCAGCATAGGATCTCATGATCTCACGGTCATGCCGCTATCTACTTACAATTTCGTGAATTCTTCTTCCTTCGTTCACGTGCCCTTTCAGATCAAACTACCTGTTCAGATTTCCTCCTAGACGCAATAATCATCCCTTTCGAAGGTTTTCAAGGGGTAGAGTTCTTTTCGTTCTTGTTCGTCGATTACATTCAGATGAATTTTGAAGAAATGTTTTATTTTTTCTTTTGTTAACACTTTTGTGGAGATTCTTATATATTGAATTTAATTATTATTGTGTGTGTTTGAAAATACGTACTATTTTTGAGAGCTGTTCATTGAAATTTTGCTAACCAGTGCTACCAAAAAAATTAGTATGAAATTTAAGTAAATTTAGATTTAAATAAAATTAAAATTAAAACTTTTTGTTTTGTTAAA